TCTCGCCGCCCCGCTCACACAGACACGCAGCTCGCCCCGCTGCGGCAGCGCTGCCGTGCAGAAAGAGGAGACAACTTGGTTAAAACCAGCAGGCACTTTGCCTTGGAATAAGTCCCTTCCCAGACAGACAGACCCTGCTAGGACATCCCCGTTTGAAGTACCCCGTGGGAACGCCGGCAGGACGCTGCTGAGGAAGGTCCCACTCAAAACACCCTGTCAAACTCGGTCTGGTTGGTGGCAGCGGGGTTCCTGCCCTGGTTAGCTGGCTGCTGGGGCATGTGCCCGCCCCGCCTGCGCGGCGGGGCCAGGTACTCGAACATGGACTGGTTGTGGGTGGACAGCATGTTTTTGAGGTCCGAGGGCATAGGGTCCGACCAGAAGAAGTCGTGGTTCAGCGCGTCGTCGCTGTCGATCCTCTGCGCGGGATCCAGCACCAGCAGCTTGTCGATGAGGTCGAGCGCGTAGGGGTCTTTGACGTAGGCTTTGAGGCGGTCCTTGACCTTGCGCTTCTGGCCCTTGGGCAGATCCAGCTTCTGGTACAGCTCATATTTGTCCACGTTTGGCCAAACCTGGGGCAGGGGGGAGTGGAGGTGGGAGGGTCAGAGGGAATTAGTTACAGAGAGAACAAGCTGCTTTTGATGCTAATGCCCTCAGGCAAACTAGGGCGAGCTCTGCAGAGAGAACAATACGATTTTACAACCTCACGCCAGCAGACTTTGTTCCCACAGCGTGAGGGAGGCACTTCACTGCCAAGCGAGAGGGCAACGCTCTCTGCTACAGCCTGGAGGCACGTGGACAAGTGAGAACAGGCTCCTGCCACCGTGGCGCTTCTCAGGAGCTCCCAGAACGTCCCCATTCTCACCCCACGGAGCCACTGGAGAAAGTGGCAACCATGATATCCAGAAAGGTCAAGGGACAAAATCTACAGCTAAATAACCTGAACATAGGTGGGACCTTTTATCCCTCAAAAGGAAATCCTGCTGCAGTCACCACTATTTACCTGAACCCAGTCTGTAGTAAAGACAGAAAACACTAAACTAAAAAACAAGGCATCTTAAATGCATGTAAAGAGGCATCAGGCCCCTGCAGCTGATATTGTTACGATGTTGATATAGGGCCTACCTATAGCACCCCACTTAATTACAGCCCTGGCCATGAGATCTCTCCAGGCTCCATCTCCCACAAGAGGGCAGGACTGGCTACCCTTAAATAAAGGGCTGTCCCAAGCAGGACTGGCTGTTAGGACCCAGCTTGAGCCACATATCACAAGCTCAAATTAGAGGTGGCTGCTGCAAAACACCTCAGGCTTCTCCACTCAGAGCAAAACCCCCTTCTTTATCTGACACAAAACACTGAGGGCGTTTAGGGGTTTTTTGGTCTAAGAGACAACCCCCAACCACAGATCAGAATAGATTCCTATGCACCATCTTCTGTTTTATCACCCTCTGAAGGGCCAACATGCTCTCTGTACCCTGATCCCCTCAGCTCTAAAGCAACTTCCCCATCTCAAGGAGGGTCTGGGAGGCCAAAAGCTCCTTTTTATCCAGAACACAGGCGCAAGCAGAGCGGGAGCTGGCGCGCAGCAGAGAGCAGCACACAGGAGCGAAAAGCATTTGCGGGAGGAGGCACCGGGGCCTCCCAGCACACTCCACGCTGGATTCACCGCGTGCAGGGCAGGGAAGAGGACCGGGAATGCATGATCTGTGCCCACCCCACCTCCTTCCTTGCCTGTCCCCCAGATTCCCCCCGCGGCCACGCTCCGCGCTCACCTCCGGCGTGATGGAGCCGCAGAGCTGGCTGATGAGCATGAGCTGGTGCTGCTCCGTGTTGCCCTGCATGATGGGGCTGCGCGTCCACATCTCTGCCATGATGCAGCCTCCGCCCCACAGGTCAATGGGGGGGCCATAGTCTCGCTCCCCTAAACAGACGCCGCGTTAGGTCACGTGCGGAAAGGGAAGGGAAGAGAAGCCGGGAGCAGCAGCACCTCCTACCTAGGAGCAGCTCCGGCGGGCGGTACCACAGAGTCACCACCCGGTTGGTGTAGCGGTTCGGCTGGCTGTTTTTAGCCAAGCTGAAAGCTCGAGCCAGCCCAAAATCCGCCAGTTTCAGGACTCCGTCCCGCGTGATGAGGACGTTTGCGGCTTTCATGTCCCGATGCAAGATCTGCACGAGAGCAGACACAGAAAGGTTAGGGCGTCCTCCTGGGGCACGCAGGTGCCAGCAGGACCTGCAGGATGCAGAGGTGATGGACAAGAAAGCATCACCCTCCAGCCTGAGCCAAGAGAGCCGCTGCTTCGAAGGCGGCACGGAGAGCACAGCAGACCTCGGAGCACAGATCTGGCCCGTTACCTTGTTCCTGTGGATGTAGTAAAGCCCATTCAGCAGCATCTGCATAACTTTCTTGATCTCCGAGAGCGTGAACTTGACGTGAGCGTTGCTGAGAAGGCCGGCCAGGTCATGCTCGCAGAAGTCAAACACGAGGTAGATGCTTCCCTTACAGCGGTTGTAAGGGGAGGCTGCAAGAGAAGCAAGGACGGACCATGAGCGAGGGTCCCTTGTTCCCATCACAGCCCCCTGACCTCCATCCATCCATCCTCAGAGCACAAGGCAGGCAAAGCTATGAAAAAAAAAACTCTTTTTTGGAATGTTCAGCTGCACATTTGGCGTTTCCTCTTCTCTACAGCTTGTGACCAGTGATGCCTCCACCAGAGCTACCAGCCCAGTGTTATCCCTGCATCAGTGTCGGAGGCAGCAAGGGCAGCCCCGGGACAAATGCAGAAACAGAGAAGATTTTTTAATACAAGATCTGAAAATGCAGTTTTCTGCAACCTCACACAGCATCTGCAACGCAGTGATCTACATCGGAACAATTTAGATCTCCAATTTCAATTGCAATTTCCAGTCAGTAACAGGAAACCTCAAATGAAGCCATCGTTTGCTCCTAGAGCATACATGCAAAAGACTGTGGATAAAAAGGCTGATTTTCACCAGCTGTAATCAGCAAAATATGCTAATCAGCAAATAAAAATGGAAAGTGAGAGCCTCGTTTAGCCTTCATGGTTAACACAGCACTTTGCAAAGCAGAAGGATGCACATTAGAAGGATGCATAGTTCTCCATACCAGTAAGGTGAACCTTAATATACCTTTTCAACATAAAAATACAGAGAACACCTTGCAGTGTGATGACCATAAACACAACTTTCTTATTTGGTTTGAAAATGAGGTCAAGGTACATTTGGAAAGAAACTGGAATTCAAACCAAAAAGCAAACAATTTACATGGCTACAAAACATCGCTGCCTCAGGCGCACCAGACATCATCGACTGCTTTAATCACAGAGCAAATCGGGGAAAAAAAAAAAAAAAGGCAAAAAAACAACCAAAACTCTCTGGTAACAATGAATGATGTTTCTCTTCATAATATTTTAGTTTCAAAATCTCAGACAAAAATCTACGTGCAATGGAGCACTGGAGCGGCTCCAGGCCAGGGACTTCTATGAGGTCAGTGCCTGGACTTTTTTTTTTTTCTTTTTTTTAATGCCACAGGCAGATTCCCTCCACTTTAATTTTTATTTAACTGAAACGACCGAGTTTGCAGGGGGTGGGAGAACAGCTCGGCAGCACTGCCTGAGCTGCCCTCACTGAGTCAGAGCGCTCCGAAGGCGGCTCGCAACGCACGAGCAGACACTGTCACGCACAAAAGGAGAGCAAAAAAGTCCCCAGCTGGCACCGTGTCACCAACTCAAAGCTCTCGAGCAGCGTCACATGCAAACCCAGAAAGGGAGAGCTCTGCTCCTGACATGGTATGAGCGACACAGCCACAAGACCAGTGCTGAGAACTCCGTGCTTCGCTTTTCTCCCTAGGGTTAGTTTATTTAAAACCACTCAAAGGGGAGTCACAGGACTCCACTTGTTGCCACAAAACATCCGCGTGCCCAGCACGTCCAAATTTAACAGCAAGTCCAGCAGGAGAGGTGGTGCGGGCTACCTTTGGTCCTGCAGATCTCGATGAGGTTCACCACGTTCTCATGCTTGAGCAGCTGCAGGATTTTAATCTCCCGCAAGGCTGTGATCGGGAACTGGAAAGGAGAAAGCCAGAACAGGGATTAGAGCGTGGGAGACCAGGCCCCGGTTACCGAGGGAACGGGCGTCGAGACGGGACCTGCTGGAGCAGCGCCCTGACAAGGCGCCAAAGGGAGGGCAGATCTTAAATTCCCTCCCCGTCCCACCACATGCTGCTCTCTGGAGGGTATTTGAGGGCTGCCCGTGCTGGGTAGAGCCACTCGCACCGCACTGGCTCCATGCAGGGCAAGGCCACAGACACCTCAAGGCACAAGGAGACCTGCCTGAACACTGAGGCTCCGGCCACATTAGTGTTATCAACAGGGCAGGAAAGTGACCTGAGATCCTGCGGCTGAAACCCTGTCCGCATCCTTAAGAGTTCAACGCTTGGTACGTTTTAGCAGTAAATACTGCTACAGAAGCACAACATCGACGTGCTACAGAGCGACCCGCGTCCCTGCAGCCCCAAACCTCAGCCTTCCCCCAGAGCGGCGCAGCTCAAGCACAACTCACCCCCTCCTTCTCATTCTCCATCAGCACTTTCTTCAGCGCCACCTTCTTGCCCGTTTGACGGTGCTTTGCTTTGAAAACCTCCCTGGAAAAAAAAAAAACAGAGAGGGAAAAAAAAAAAAAGTGACCGCATAAGGAGAGGAGAAGGAGCCAGGCGCTTGGTAAACAATGCAGAGCTCCATGGAGACGCTCTGCGCTGCCCTCAGCCCAGGTCCTCCCGCAAGGCGGGGAAGGGACCCGGGCAGCGAGAGGGACCCGATCCCAGAGGGACTAAAGGGACCGGGGGGAGAGGGTGGAAAGGGGGGGAGGGGGTGATTAGGCCTCGGCCCGCGGGCGGGCGGGGCGGCGGCGCTCACCCGAACGTGCCCTGCCCGATCTTGGCCAGCTTCTCGTACTTGGACACCTCGTCGCAGAAGGGACACTCCACCATGTCGTACTGCTTGGCCGGGGGAGGCGCGGCCACCGCCGCCTTCCCAAAGGAAGGGAAAGTCGCTCCCAAATGTTCCAGCACGGCCCGGAATTCCAGCGCAGCGGGGCGCCTGCAGCCCAGCGCTCCCCTGCGGGGCGTTGTGGCCTCATGGCCGCTGCGATCCCCCTGTCACCCCCCAAGACAGGGCTGTGGTGCGGACGGAAGCTCCATGCGCCAGGATGCGCCCGGGGGCAACGGGATCCCCCTCGCCCTCCGCGCGGGTTTTCCAGCAGCGGTTGCCGCTGTGTCCACACTAACACTGTCCTGCTGCATTCTTCCCCCTGGCACCGCTGGGACTCAGGACAGCCATGTCCATGTGCATGGCCTTATCCGTGTCCATATCCATGCCCATGTCCCATTTTGGAGCGCGTTTGGGCCTGTTTGGATTAGCAATCCCAGTGCCGAGGAGCCCCCGGCATCGCCCTGGTGCTGATACCCGGCCGGGTAACACCAGCAGCGCCAGCCTGGCCTGGGACGGGGCGGCCGCGGGGCCTCCTTCCCATGGACATGCTGGGGAAAACGCCCAGAGAAACCACGATCTCCTCTCCAGGAGCTCTTCCCGCAGCCACGGCCTCGTCCAGGGGCAGAGCAAGTTATTTGGGGGTCATTTTAGGCTGCCCCCCACGGTGGGGAAGCGCAACGAGAAGCACCCGGAGCAGACGGGAGATGCGGAGGTGGCTCCCAGCCTGCACACGCTGCCTCCTGCGGAAAGGTGGGAGCTGGGAAAAGGCTCCCATGGGTCTTTCCAGCTCTGGGGCCATCCCGTGGAAACAGTGTCAGGCCCAGAGGGGCTCCCAAAGGGACTCCCAAGGGGGCTCCCAATGGGGCTCCCAATGGGGCTCCCAAAGATGCTCCCAACAGGGCTCCCAAAGGAACGGAGAGCGGCCCGTGGCCGGATGGCACCGGCATCGCCCAGGGTCCCTGGCTCGGGGCCGGCATCCTTGCGCGGGGCCGTTTGGGGTGACGGCGGCGGGGAGGAAGCGCCGCGCGCGGCCGAGAGCGCGAGCGGGAGGCGCAGGGGCAGGAAGGGAGGAGCAGGGCAGGGACAGGCTCCCAGTTCATAAACTCATCCCCGCCGGGCCCGCTGCGCC